GCATTGCAATAGTCCAGCCTGGACAGAACAAGAGCTTGAACAATACATGATACATAGATACATGGTTGTGTTCTAGGATAGCTGACATGTAACATGTATTTAATCTAAAACTATTTCAAATAATATTTTATAATTATTGTAAAATTAATGTACATGCCGTTTTATGAGCTTATATGAACTGAGAGGTTATATTCTGTATATCTTATAAAGCATTTGTCACACCGCATGACTATTTGGGTGAACTGCAAAAAAAAAAACTAACATCTTAAAATAAACGAAATTCTACAGTGATAAATGTAGGAAAAGAGAGGACTTTCATTATCTTTACCTTTTAATTTTGAAAGCACGTCGTTAACCTTGTTTTCAGATTTTTCTCGAGTGTCTGCGACCAGATCCTTCAGTTCTGGGCTAATTTTATCTCCTGATGGACCCATTGCGCTCACCAGCTCGGAAAAACGTGTTAGATTTCATATATAAAAACCCATGTCGAACGTCAAGAGTTTATTTAGTTTATTACTTCTCATATACTGGGTAAAGATGTAACTTCCATGATTGTTCTGGTCAAGAAAAGCGACAAAACAGACGGCAACAGAAAAGAGCCAGTTCAGTTTCTACGGTAACCTTACGTCATCACACTGCGACCCGTACATCGTGTTGAGAATTTTTTTTTTTTTTTTTTTTAAATAATTTTTCACACATGATGTTGTATCATAACAATACTCGGTATTTTTGTTAAAATAAAAGACAAATTGACTGACTGTTGTGCATTTACCAACTCCAACAAGGGTAAAAGCACAACTAGTGTGACGAATGATAACGTCTTGAATGTGTTTGTTTGGAATACATTTTTATTTTTTTGTGTTAATTAAATTTCCTAACTTATGTAATAGGCTAACGGTGGAAATTCAATGTTATAGCCTATTTATTTACCATAGAACTAGAAAATCCCATTTGCTTTTTTAAAAATACACATTTAAACCTGTTTTTTGTTTACAGTCTATGATTTAAACATAAGACTGAATCACTTGCACACACACACACTTTCTTATTTTAATATATTTTGAAATTTTAACAAAACACCTTTTGTATAACAAATACTTCTCTTTTAAGCATGCATTTTACAACATAAATTTCAACTTAAATTTCGTTTAAATATATTTTGGTCATTCAAAATATACCTTACGCTATATTGTGCAATGAACATGCAGACCCCAAAATAACCTTTGTTGTTGTTGTTGTTGTCCTTGTTTTGTCCAATTTGCCGTTTGTGACATGAAAAGCACACAATTGAACAAAAATGGACATAGCATTCCTTACTTTAATCTTTAAATTTATTTATCAGAATTTTATATTGAACCATTCTGAAAAATCTGTCAAATAAAAAAATCTGTCATTACGTTTTTGAACATGTTTTTGTTTTGATTATTGTTGAAAATGTTCAAATAGAATGATGTAAATATTGTACAAAATATATTGCACTACAACAAGAATAACAGCAGTTCTTGAAATTAGATTTCAACTAAGTGTATTTCAAAAGGTATATTTTATATAGCCTAAAAAATATGTTTCAATCTGTAATTTGGCTAGAATTATTTTTCGTATGGATTGAATTTATGTGAATTATTCAAAGAAATCCATGTTTCATTGCACCCGTCATAGACGTGTGTGACACTTTTAGAACATTGAGCGCGAGACAATACAGATGCGCTACATACATTTTCAGTTGATTTTTAGTTATTTAGTGGGATGTTTCTGTCCCCTAGGATGATTTTAACATCAACATTAACATTTTCAAAACACAAAGAATCGCCATGAACATTCAATAATTACTTATTAATTTATTTCTATTTGATTAAAACAAGTTTTTGGTTCATGTGCTCCTCTTTAGATCAGGGGTCTCTACAGCACTTCCTCTACTGTCCCGTAGAGAAGCAGGGTCTTCAGGAGCCTCGCACCAACAGCCCTAGTGTCCTCTCCACTGAGGATCAGCAGGTTCAACCTCCTCCAGCTCAAGCCTCCAACAGTAAATTCACTTTATGTACTTTGTCAAAAAATGTTCATGCTTGTTAACATCAGTATTTTAGGTTAAAATAAGTACAAATATTCTAAATAATAGAAAGCCAACTATTACTATTTATTTATTAAAACTACAGGTGTGATAATTATGAGAACAAGACCCAGCTAAAGTCACTTTTTTATTATGATTTACTGTTTTCTACATAAAATCATCCTTCATAAGGTAAAGAACATTCTGTGAAAAAGTAACCTTAATATTGACTGAGTAAGACCATGGGAAAGATTTAAATCATAGTGAAATTAATAGTTGAAATTAAACTTTGATGCTTGTTATCTCATAATTAGATTTTGAGACTTTAGCCTGGATTTCACAGAGAGGGTCACATATACATTAGTTTGAGAAATCTGTAAAAAGTGTTCCTGACATGGCTCAGCCAGAGTACTGTACCAGTACCAGAGCTCTCTATCTAGGCCTTCCTGGTCCCAGCACTCCATTACTGTCCAACTAATTGACTTCCGGTACAGGGACCTTCTAAAAAATTCTGCCTATAAGACATTCTTGGGTATATATTGTGTCTTAAACCTGTAGTTTGCAACAAATTCTAGTGACCAGTTACACCATATCTCAATATGCAGTCTTCGTGTAACCAATCAAAAAACTATTTTCTTCAGGCACAGAACTCTACTGCCCTCGTAAGTGGCAAATACCATTGGAAAACCTGCAACTGTGTGTGGAGACCCTCCAGACAACAGTGACTTAAGGCAGCAATATTTGCATATGGCAATATTACTTGTCTAGGGGTGTTTAAATAATGTTTCAGAGGTTCCTGATGTGATACCAGACAGAACTGGTGCACCACTTCAAGAGCTTCTCAGTTAGCTTAGCATCTTGCAGGCTGATGCAAGTCAACGCCATCCCTCAACGCCTTAGCATCTTGCAAGGCGGGCAATGTTCCTGCCACAGTCAACCAGGCTTAACAGGCTTTACTCAGCCTAGAGCTCACTGTTTTAGCCACCCAGTCCTATTGATTCCTGTAATGGCCATCCTGGAGGTACCTACAGTATGAACTCCCCCTCTCAGAACTCCCTGTCAGTCATTCCAAGCTCCCTTTCAAAGCCACCCCAGTTGCAAGGATTCTTAGCTGCTCTAATGGTTCCTACCATGATTTGAAGCAGATCTCTTCATTTCATGAGTCTGCCCTATAGAGCACTCTTTAGGTTTACCTAGAGGACTTCTACAGCCCTGAATGTCAGCGGAGATCAGGACAACTACATGAGCCACAAAGACAGATCCCCAGTGAGGACCTTGTCTCCTAGACGGCCACCGGGACAAGTCCACAGAAACCAGTTGAGTCCTCTGCACAATGTGACATTGCTGCAGCCTGGAATTGAACTGCTGGTTTCGTCTGGTCAGGGGAGAACTGGCCCCCCGACTGAGCCTGGTTTCTCCCAAGGTTTTCTCTCCATTCTGTCACCAGTGGAGTTTTGGTTCCTTGCCGCTGTCGCCCCTGGCTTGCTTAGTTGGGAAAACTTAATTTCCAGCGATATCGTCGAATTCAATGATGAACTGCCTTTAACTGAAAATTGAGTGCTTACTATTATCATTTTGCATTATTGACACAATATTTTCCTAATTAATGATGTACAGTTGCTGACACAATCTGTATTGTTAAAAGCGCTATATAAATAAAGGTGACTTGATTCCCTGCCATGACCGTCCAGTTTGCTGTAAAACATGTTCCTGCCACATCCGAGCCAGAGCTGGTTCCCAAAGCCAGTGCTCCCTAGTTCCAGTGCTCGGTATCAACACTATCCTCAATGGAGCACTCCCTCAAGGGTGCCTTCCTACAGTTCCTGACAAAACCGTTCCTGTCACACCAATCCTAGAACTCTCCATCTAGGCCATCCTGGTCCCAGCACTCCCTAATCTTATATCTGTTTTTGTTAGAGCTAATTATGGTACAGAAAATACATACAAATAAAATTTGCCAAAATAATGCTGACATAAATCAAGCTCTTTGCTACCTTATGTTCAATAGCACAATGAGATGAGTCTTAACACATTGATGATCGATTTCTTAACTAGTTTACTATTAAGCTTATCAAAGACTCTCTCTCTCTCTCTACTTTAACATTTATAAAAAAGGAACATAGATACCTTTTATTTAAAAAAAAAAACTGTGACAGACTTCTTCCCAGTTTTCAAAACATTACATCAGTGTGCTTTTGGTTAATGAACTCAAATAACATCTTTCTTTTCTTACTGTCTCTTGGCACCTAGCACCATGTGAGTTTCAGTTACTGAATTTCCTAACACGGCCTTGGAGGATTTTATGAATTTAATAAACCTTTTAATAGATTTCTAGAAGTTCAGGAGTCCCTAATAATTAAAGCAAGAAAATAAAAACAATGCTTGGAAGATCAAAAAGGAATATGAACACTGACATTCATATGCAAAATTATTCAAACACAATAAATTAAGAGTTTAATATCAGCTTTGTGAATGTATAATGTTAAAATACAGGACTAACTGTACCCTGTATGGATTTAATATGGAACATTTCTAGTATTATTCAAGACTGAATCCTAGCGAGCTTAGGACCGAAGAAAAAAACATCACTGAGAAATGTGATATTCTTTGATATTTCACATAATAATTTAATAAAAAAAATAAAGAGACATTTAAAAACATCCACTGATTACATATAATCAAATTAAAAACACAATACAAACATTGTCATACTGACTTATTTCTTTAGATCAACTCTCAGGGTCTTCTGCAGACTTTCTATGCTGGCATCTAGTGCTGCAAGCCCGTCCCTGAAATTCTGCTCATCCTGTGTGTTAAATGTGGACCAGGAGTTTATGCTCCAATCAGAGGCTAAAGATTTAATATCACACGAGGAAAAGGTGTTCTCCGTCACTGAAGGGTGTCCAGTGGATGCTGACTGAACACCCATCCTTAGGCATCGACGGGCATGTTGGGATTGCACTAGCTGATTGTTTAGGTCCTTATTTTTCTGATTTAAATGTAAGGCCATGCCATGATGATCTGAAACGTAATCTCGGCCATCATTCTTCACATCCTGAACGTGAAGCCCATCTGAGATGTCCAGCTTTTCAAAAGCATGGCCCATATATTTCAGGCCTACATGAGCATCCACATCTTCCCTTTGATTCTTGGATGTTATCAGCTCATTACACTGAGTGAGTGGATTACTGTGAGCAACTCCTGAGGCAAGCTGCGCCACTGGAGTCTCTCTTAAAGGGGCAAACGTTGTTCGTTTCTGCTCTTCTAACTGAGACACATTCTCAGCTATGGTTTCCAGGGTTGGTTTGCGTATATATGGAGAGCAGACTGGCATAAAGTTCTCTTTTCCACCATCAGTCTGACCAGGAGAGGTTGGTTGTAATGTCTGGGACCTACAGTAAACTCGGTGGGGAGGAGAGGCCTGTTCGATGCCCTCCAGGGTCTGAAGGTAGGTCTTCACAGAGTTTGAAAGTTTATCTGAGACAGCGGACTCCCTCTGTGCATTTTCATGCAATTCCAGAACACTCTTGGTAAGCTGAGAGTTTGGTTGACACAAGTCCAACTGATGAGAATATTTGCTGGTGTCTTTTGTTTGACTTATCTGCAGATTTCTGTGTGCATGAAAAAAACAGCATTTGACCTACATATTCGGTTATATGCTACATTCTCTAAATTACATTTGAAAGTGTAATTTCATTGTAGTTTAGATGAGTGGCACTCAAGCCAGAATTTAAATTACATCAAGTGGCACAAAGTACAGAATTAAAATTGCTTATTCTACAGTACACACACAAAAAGGAGGGCTTGTCATGCAATCTGTCCATGATAACATGTCTACTTTGGCTTTTTGGCTTTTAATCAAGTGACAAATGAATGTTCGTCAATGCACATCCTTTAACTTCAACAACAAAACAGAAGCACTTTCTCCTCCCTTTTAAAAGTTGATCATCTTAACTATGTTTATTTGCATGTAGAATGATTTTTTTCACTGCTCTCCATGACTCATGAGAACATACCTAACCCACCGGTTTAGTTAGTTACCTGATGACTTCCTGCAGTCTGCTGATCTCTGTCTCCCTCTGCTGAAGGCTCAAAGTCAGTTCCATCTTCTCAATCTCATACTTTCCAAGTTTATTCTGGCAACTCTGCATTTCAGCTAATGCCTCACTCATCTCTGCAAGGGTAAGTAACTTGACAATTACTCACAGCATAAAGAAAAAGGCTTCAAATATGTATGTAAATTGAACAGCAGTCATGTTTTTTTAATATTAGTGAAATAAAGATATCTTGGAATGTGCAACAAATGTTATAATGCAGTCATACCTGTTAATATAATATCAATATAGTGATTATAAAAATAAATTCTAAGTTGTTTTTTTTTTTAGAAAGAATAGGACAATATAAAAATGCTAGACGGTTAACATATTTACTATACTATAATTTAAGAAAATAATAAATAAAACCAAAGTAACAATATAATATAACAAATACTGACTAAAACATGATTTAACAATGAAAACAACAGTCTAAAAGAATACTCTTACCTAGTCTTAGCCGGCTGTTCTCTAACTCACACAAGTCTTTGTGCAGCTTCATGTCACTGTCTTTGTCCTCCATGGCTTTCTGTAGTCTCATGTTCTCCTGTTGCAGATCATCGAGCTCTCTACGGCTCTCATTTAACTGAGTTTGTAGATTGAGGTTTAGAGACTGTAACGTAACTACTGTAAAACAAACATGCCAACAAACTCAAAGGTTGTTTTCATACATCCACTTGGCTAGAAAATACAAGGCTAAATTCTAAGAACATATACATATTTGTACATTTACTCTTTCATTGATTTATTCGTTTCTAAATCAAGCCCTTAATAGACAGCATGAAGCCACTCACCCTCCATGTCGCAGGCCTCCGGCCTGTTCCGCCGTTCTGCTCTCTCTCTCTGTAATAACTGCTGATTGAGTATTCGCACACGCCTGGGAGTCATGCAAATGAATACAAATTAGACTTGTCAATTGAAGTGTGATTTATTAAGATAAAAATAAAAGGATGAAAATTTAAAGGGGTCATATGATGTTGCTAAAAATAACATTATTTTGTGTATTTGGTGTAATGAAATGTGTTTATGTAGTTTAAGGTTAAAAAATCACATTATTTTACGCATACTGTACATTATTGTTTCTCCTCTATGCCCCGCCTTTCTGAAACGCTTCGATTTTTACAAAGCTCATCGGTCTGAAAAGCGAGGTGTGCTCTGATTGGCCATCTATCCAGTGCGTTGTGATTGGCCGAATACCTCAAGCGTGTGACGGAAATGTTATAATATCCTGAGGGGCTGTAGGGCGAGTGCGATCTCAGCCTGGATGTTGGTGCTGCCCACCATGACAGGAAGCAGTGATGCCGTGTCCCGGCGCAATGAGACAAAACCAGTAAAACCCATTATAAACGAGGCATTTGTTGCATCCAGTGGGGACATAATTACTTATACTGTCTTTTTTCGAGTTTCATTGCATCGCGCCACGTAAACATAAAACCATGTCTGCATTTTTGATCGGAGAAATTACAAACAACAAGCGCTACTCTACACTGCTCAAAACTCGCGTTTGAATCGTCAGTGGCAAATTCTTTGAATATGAAAACGTACTTACAGACTGTGAGTCCGAACAGCCGGCATTGTAGTCTACTCTACCAGGATCAAGAAACAGTCCTCCATAAAATGCACCGCACACGTCGGAATATTTGGGTTGAACTGTTCTGGAACAGTGTTGTAAATACAACTTAACCACTGATTTCTAGTCATGTCCTCTTTTGGAAGGCCAAACAAAGTATTTTCGCTTTCACAACGAAACACAGCGTCTTCACAACATGGCGGCGGCGGCAGCAACAATAAAGATACACTTTCTTTCTTTGCGTGAACATTTGGGCGGTGTTATGCAAATCTTCCCACATCGTGACGTAGACATGTGGGGGCGTGTTTAAACGAGGCGTTTTAGGAGAGCGTGGACGAGTCTTAACTTTTATAAAGAATATCTCTTTGGGTTTGAGACTTTAGTCTTTGCAACTTTAGGGATCTTATCTATTCACGAACAGCTTGTAACACTCCAAAGAGAAAGGAACACTTGAAATTGCATCATATGACCCCTTTAACATAATTAATCTGCATAATTAAGCTTATGTCCAATGCCATGCAATATATTGACTTCTAAGGTCGCTTTTTGTATGCTATTCAATGCTTTTTTGCCACAGTAAAGACTCTGGATTAACTTGATTTGGAGGCTTTTCTCAACACATACTGATAAATCTGATTAGTTTTTAGTTTAGATTAATTAATTGGCATGTATCATGTAATTAATTTAATTGCAGTTTTATATTCTATTATGCAGTAGTTGTTAGTATTCTATACACTCTTCAAGTCACTGACCTTCGCAGCTGTACATTCTCACTCCTGAGGGGCTGTAGGGCGAGTGCGATCTCAGCCTGGATGTTAGTGCTGCCCACCATGACAGGAAGCAGTGAGACGCTCTGCTCCACCTCAGAGATCAGCCGCACAGCATCATTGTCTGCACAGAAGAGTGAACATTAATACCATGTGAAACTAACACACACTCTGCTCATCGGCCAAGTTTCTAGAATCTGCAAAACCAGCAACTCAATCCTTGGGTGATCTGATACTCTGACGGTCCAATATTTTATTATGTTACAGAAAGTGAATTAGATAACCATCGTATCAGCTTTCATTAATCAGATCTAGAGATCAGGACAGAGGGAAGAAAGAAAGACATCCCTGTAATAAGAGCCTGACAACAACAATATACACAGAGAACAAGAGAAATTTTAAAAGATATGTCGACAAATGTCTCATTGTTTTTGTCCTGTATGATGTACTTTTTGTTCCACAGAAGAAAACAACAAAAGGTTTGGAACAACAAAAGTGTATGTACAGTAAATAACAGAATTTTAATTTGTTTAGTTTTTTTTTTTATAGATTTGCTACATCTAATATGATATGAAAGAATTAAAGATGAATGGAAAGTCAAAGCAAGGAAAAGAAATAAAATATTCTCACCCTGATTAGCAACTAAAGTCTTCAGCTCTCCCAGCAGATATTTAACAGTCATCACTTTCTGTGTGGTTTTCTCTGGACTGGTGGGTTTGGCATTGTGATTTAGAACAGTTAATTTCTCACAGCTGATGTCTCTGACAGGTGTAGTGTCCATCCCATCTTTTATGTCATCCTCTGCATTAGTACCACTTTCTTTAGAACAGATCTCCTGCTCCTGGTCATTGCAAATAACTAGTACTGGTCCATTTGGATCAGATTGAGGCTGGCTGACCTGGGGCTGGTTGGGCACCTGTGTTGTTAGCACTGCAGATGAGGGACAGGTTGAGGACCCAGTGGATGATGCCAAAGGGGCACTTGGCTCTACAGATCCCACCTGATGATGAAGCACCTATATTATTAGAACCATCAATGAAAGTGCTAATTCAGTACAATTAGGTCAGTTAAACATTTTACACATACAGCATGTGTATTCAATAATGAGGAATAATCCGAACCAAGAAAATTACCAGGACAATTCAAAAGTTTGAGGTCAAGTTTAATGCTTTAAGATTAATACTTTTATCCAGCAAGTATGCATTCAATTAAAGGGGTCATATGATGCGATTTCAAGTTTTCCTTTCTCTTTGGAGTGTTACAAGCTCTTGGTGCATAAAGAAAATCTGTAAAGTTGCAAAGACTAAAGTCTCAAATCCAAAGAGATATTCTTTACAGAAGTTAAGAGTCAGCCACGCCTACCTAAAACGGCTCGTTCTAACACGCCCCCACATATCTATGTCAATATGTGGAAATATTAGCATAATGCCGCCCAAATGTGCACGCAAAGAAAGAAGGCGTGGTTTCAGGAACAGCAGTAGTGTTGATGCAGCCATGTCAGGGAGACGCTGTGTGTTTCAGTGCGTAAGCAAAAGCACTTTATTTGGCCTTCCGGAAGTAGATGCAATTAGGAATCATTGGTTAAGATTTATTTACAACAGAACAGCACAACCCAGATGTTTGAATTTGTGCAACGCATTTTATGGACGACAGTTTTTTGAACCTAGAAGAGTACAAGGCTGGCTGTGCACAAAGGCTATTTAAAAAAAAAAAAAATAAGTGTGTTTTGTTATTAGTTTAAGTATTTGCTACTGACTGTTCAAATGTGGAGTTTTACGCAGCACAGAGTAACGCGTGTCGTGTGTGTTTGAGGGGAACAGGGTCACATCACAGGAGAGTGAACTGTCTGTCAGAAATCATAGCACGTCAGCTGTCTTAACCGCGGCTTGTGTACTGCATCATCACTGTGTCTGTCATGCGACTCTGTTGCCCTTTCGGGCTTGAACTGATGGTAAAACTAACGACATTATTAACTGTCTTGATATTTACTTTGAAAGCTTGAAGCTCGCGATTATGGTAAGGGGCGTTACATTTCCGACGCGTGCTTGTGGTGTTCGGCCAATCACAATGCACTGGGTCAGCTGGCCAATCAGAGCAGACTGCGCTTGTCAAAGGAGGGGGCTTTGTTGAAAACGACGTGTTTGAGAGAGGCGGGGCATAGAGGACCTACAATAATGTACAGTATTTGAACAATAATGTGTTTTTTGAACATTAAAGCATGTCAACATATTCTGTTACACCAAATACACAAAATAACGATCTTTAAAATAGCATCATATGACCCCTTTAATAAAACATGAAAGTAAAGACTTTCCCATTATTACAAAATATTACTATTTCAATTAAACACTGCTCTTTTGAACTTTCTAATCATCAAAGAATTTAATTCTTGAAATGTATCACGGCTGTTTCACGGTTGTCAACTGTTTTCAACACTGATAATACAAAATGTTTCTTGAGCACCAAATTAGCATATCGTTTCATTCCTTTATCTTAACAAATTATTTTAATCTTTAATTATTTAAGTGTTATTTGTATAGTTTCTGAAGGCTCATGCAACACTGAAGACTGGAGAAACTGCTGTTAAAAATTCATCTTTTCTATAGATGAATAAAATATATTAAAATAGAAAACATATTATTTTGAATTATAAGAATATTTCCCAATATTACTGTTTTTACAGTATTTTTAATTTGAGAAAATGCAGCCTTGGTGAGCATAAGAGACTTATTTGGGAAAAAAAAAATAGAATGGTATTGTAAGTCTGACACATATGAACAGTACATAGGCCAGAAAGCTAGTGTATACTATGCAAATGTTATCTGTGTGAAATTCTGTGGTGATAGGTTTATGTTCAGTTATAATAATAAAACAACAATATATTGACTTCCACGTGCTTTACTCGTCTTAATTTGGGTGATTTTGTCAGTAATATATATATATATATATATATATATATACAGTTTATAGGAAATGTAATTAAAATTATTTTTATACATTTTAATGGATCAACAGCTCTCATTGTTTGCATAGTGGATTATAGTGCAGTAAACATACAGGTTCACTGTGAGCTGATCCAGGTCTCTGAGGGCTCAGTGCAGGTGTGGATGTAGTCAGCCGACAGTTAAATACAGTGGATTTGTAAACCTGACCTGCAAACAGAGAGAGTAAACATAAATTACATTTTCATTTACTAATTATATTTACTATGTTAGAGTCATTATACTGTGTGTTAGTGAGTCTGGAATATTACAGCTAGCAGCAGGCTGAGAGTAAGCCAGTGGAAGTGAGTTTTGCCGTTCATGTTCTGCTTGCGTTACAGGGGTCAGTCCTGAAGGATGATCCTGTGTCACTTGTGCCCGTCTGATCCCAGGGTTCTGATCACGATGCCCAGCTGAACTCAGGTGACAACTGGCAGATGGAATCGTCTTCTGCACTGGAGCTACAGTAAGAGAAGAACAATATGTTGTGATCTTGAGGTATCTGTGCTTCTGAAAATGACTTTAACGATAATGACCCGTTTCTACTGTGGCATTCACACAAATTGTACTAAGAATTTTACAACAAAGGATGGAAATAGGAAGACTGACAAATGTGTCACATTTCAAAAACAAGTATAAATTCTTGCAGAACTTCTTTTGATAAGATAAAAAAAGGTACAATATATTTGAGGACATTACCTGGCCTTTTGTTTGCATGTATAGCTGTGTTTGTCTTCTTCCCATGCCTTTTCTTGTCAGTTTCCATTTTTCTTGATACATTTTTGGGTTTGGATTTGAAGGTGCAGGTTTTTGTTCCCTGTGGTTTGGGCTTTGATTCTGTTGTGGGAAGATTATTGATCTCATCACTACTCAAATACTAAACATAGAAAATGTATGGATTTTGTAAATACAATACCTGCTTGTTCAGCTTGAAGTATCCCATTGAGTAAAGCAGCACATCGGTCGAGTCCCTTGTGTATCGTCGTCACCTGGATGCAATTTTCAATGTGAAAGAATGTCACAGAAGCTTAAATTTCAGTTCTGTTCAGTTTATACACTACTACTTCTGGTATGTGGCTGCTTTACCTGATCTTCAGAGTCTGTAGAATAAAGAGAATATGCTGGTTCTAGAGGAGGAACACATCTCCCAGCAACCCTAAACCAGACACCATTTCTGTATGTCAAATGTTTGTGTTTTTCTTCTAAAGGATTTCTTCTAAAGGATTTCTGTTATCCAGTCTGTTACCTTTTCTTGTGTATCTGTCCACGTCCAGAGGCTGTCAGTCTGCCTGTTGAGATCACCTGCAAAACATAATTTGCTTAGTGATAAAACAAAACAATGTACAATAACTTATATAATATAAATAATAGCTTGCAACCACTACCTTTGGTCTTGATACTCCCTGTCTTGCCATACTTGATTAAATCTGCAAAATTCACCAAGTGCACCTACCTAGCAACAAATATTTATTCATCGTGATCGTATAGGTCTAATAGTGGTTTGCCATTGCTTGTGTTTACTGCGTAAATTAACTTCAAATACAACTTCAAAGACCAAAATCAAAACTGCACTCATCTAAAAACTAAGGAATGAAAAGCAAAACAAACCGCTGCTGTTACAATCATCACCAGTAGTTCAGTTTGCGTTCAAAACGGAAGCTGAGTGCCGTGGACCAATAGGAAAACAGTCAGTTTTAATCTGTGGATTTCATTGGTGGATTACAGTAAAAAAAAAAAAATCAAACCTGTCATCTATTGGCCTCGGACTATGTCAATCAAATGAGCACTAGCCACTCAGATTCCTCAGGCTTAGCCAACGCCATTACGGCTTCAGACGCCAAAAAGGTGTTTCTATGGAGATGGAATGGCAGAATAATCAGTCTGATATTTCGCGGTTCTGTAAAATGATATTCCAGCGTGTCAGTTCTAGAATTAACCTACTTTTTATTTGTATTTTTATATCTATTTTTTGCTTTTAATACTTGTTATACAGTAAGTTAAATAACTTCTTTTATTTTTATTTTCAGTATCTTAAATAGTCAATATGTTAGCACAAGTAGGCTCATGTAGTTTTCATTTAATTCTAGTGAAATGAAATCGGTCAGCATAAGTGGTCCACCATATTTCAGAGCAGAGTGCGAAATACCCTGCATTACATCAAGTCTTGTGAGAGAACAAGTAAGCTAAAAGCCCTGAACGCTATTTTTGACTGGGGTGTTTATTGCCTCCTGAGTAATGGGTAGATGAGGTTGCAGTCTGTTCTCTTCCTCTCGTTATCCCATTAAATTCTCATCCAAAACACAGTTTACCACAATTGATGAAATCAGACACCCTCACCATGCCATATGCCTTCCTGTGATGAAAGAAATCATAGAGCTTTTCAGAAGGGAAAAGGGACCACAAACTATTCTTAAACCGATTTATTAGACTAAAAATACTGAATCAGGATATGGTTTTTATGGATTTAGTTTGATTGTTTATAAAGTTATCTATCTTTGAACAACTATATCTGTAAAATTCACTTATATATATTTTAAAGATGTTTATATTATACAAGGTATCCAGATAAGAGAGTGCCATGTCATCCTGGGTCTGTGAAATCTCTCTCTGTAAAATAGATGCTACAGGTCACAGAACATCTCAAATGGCAAACATACATCAGAGCACACAGGATCATTGTTCGGATGTGGCGTGAGCCATGGCATTTCTATATATTATTATTTAATTTGATGTAAATCATGAATTCACTTGTATACGTTGTATTCAGATTCAGCTGTAATTCAGAGTCAAGAATATGATCACCTTTGCATGCCCAGCAGTGAAAGTTTCAGGTTTGAGATCCATTAAATCAAGCATAGATCGAGCACTTTTCATTAGACCACTGCTCTGAAGATCTCATTCTCACAAACTTTCCCCTGCATACTCTGAAGAATATAAATTCTTCCTTATGAATGTTTGATGACTTATAGATTTGTGTTCTGCTTTCTCAGCAGGTTAAGTAAATCTACATAAAGTGATATGAAGCTGTTCGTTTTGATCCTCACAGCACTGCCTACTCGATGTTTTCCAGCTGGGTTTTGATGACATCCTTCTGGAGGGATGATCACCTGCCTTGGTGTAAGAACCATTATAAAAGACCAAGCATACACTAAGAATCAGTCCATCTGATACAGGTTAATTTAATAATAGCAAAATTAGACAAATAAAGTATGTCTACTAGAACACTGCATGCTTTCAAATGAATTGCTTGCACACAGAATTACAAAAATGTGAATAATTTTTTTCTGTTGTTGTATCATTCCTTCTAACGACCACTGAGGCCTCTATGAAACCATATTTCCTCAAGAGGGCAGCATTTCACCATCTGCTAGCACGTTTTCCTCACATAGCCTCAATATTTCTAAGAAAGCGTTTGTCTGTCATTGAATTTAAAGGAACACTCCACTATTTTTGAAAATAGGCTCATTTTCCAACTCCCCTAGAGTTAAACAGTTGAGTTTTACCGTTTTCGAATCCATTCAGCCGATCTCCGGGTCTAGCGGTAGCACTTTTAGCTGTAGCTTAGCATAGATCATTGAATCTGATTAGACCATTAGCATCTCGCTCAAAAATGACCAAAGAGTTTCTATATTTTTATTATTTAAAACTTGACTCTTCTGTAGTTACATCGTGTACTAAGACCGACGGAAAATGAAAAGATGATATTACGCAGCACCTGAAAATAGACTAACTTCCGTCAACATAACCAATGTGACCACCTGCTTGCACAGGGAGCGTGCTGGGGACTATTTTCAGGCGCTGCGTAATATCATTGCGCCTGCTGCACCCATGGTACGGCAGCAAAGTTCCTTGATTATTACGCCAGAATGAGAGTATAGTTCCTAGCCATATCGGCCTAGAAAATCGCAACTTTTAATTTTCCGTCGGTCTTAGTTCACATTTTTGAGCGAGATGCTAACGGTCTAATCAGATTCAATTATCTATGCTAAGCTACAGCTAAAAGTGCTACCGCCAGACCCGGAGATCGGCTGAATGGATTCGAAAACGGTAAAACTCAACTGTTTAACTCTAGGGGAGTTGGAAAATTTGCCTATTTTCAAAAACAGTGGAGTGTTCCTTTAAGTTATGTAGAAGACCAATTAATCATTTTAATATTATCTTGCAAATCAGCAAGTCATGCGGTAATACAATCATTCAGTATGTCGGCATTTGTTTTCGCAGATGTTAAATTCACCCTGTGCAAAATCTGAATCACAGGAAGACCAAATTTCCTGGTTAGAGTCTACAGGGCTATTTAACTTCCAGAAACAACACAATTGTGCCCACGCTCAAGCATACTTTTGATTTCTAAACAAACATTCTCATTAGTAAGGGGGTGTGGAGATTGACGGTAGTGCTACTGGCACATTCTCACCAAACTAAATAATATTGTTACAACTAGACTTAAAGTTTTTATAGACTGTACTAAGAACCTGATAATAGGCCCTACAAGTGACACAATGAGACAATACAGTAATATTATGTGTACGTTACTATATAAGAATAATCATTCAAATGTCGCTTTTATAGGCCTGCAGGTTATTTCCTGTTAATTTGAGGAACAAAGTAGGCTACTCGAACTAAGTCTGTGTTTGCAGGTTTCTTATTATTTATTTATTTTTGCTAATTTTAAGTGGAGTTGTGTGGTTTTGCCTCCAGCACTTATGAGCGTTTTTCGCTTTAAAAAAGATCACTCGGAGCAGGGTTTCTCTCAGCAGCCAGCGGAGAGTGGAAAATGGAACACCTGGAGTGGATTTAAAGCTTGGATTTGGAGTTGAGAGGGGAAATCTAGCTCCGCTCCACTCATATATGTGCACCAGACCATGAAGCTTTGGTTTCTTTTTTGGAACCATTTTCGTTCATGACTAAAAAAAAGAACGATATTAATTGGTTATTAAAAATACAAATTCTTTAGCAATATAATTCCTTAATATAATAAATATTATATAATAAATGTATTATATAGTGTAACAATCTATAAGTTCTCACTGTTTGTGTGAAACTGTTTAAATCTATTTTCAAAAATTATAATTTCACAGAATATCTAGGCTACTACACTCTAAAAAATGCTGGGTTAAATACAACCCAGTGCTGGGTAAAATAGGGACAAACCCAGCATTTTTTAGAGTGTAATGTTACTTTTAAAGAATAACATGACCAACATTTTATTTAAACAACGATATTCAGTGAACAAAATAACCACTTTTATAGAAATCTGCAAATAAGTTTTAAATGGGGTTCCAATGATAAAAGCATCCTAACAGACCGCGATTCGTTGATTCTAATTAGTAAGCATCCCTTTAACAGGACCGAATGGTGATGGTTGGGGTTCTCTGGCCTCTTGAAAAATACACACACCCCATTATTAGGAAGCGCTTGAGCGCATCAGGAGGACAGATTGGTCCAGTTCTCCACGCTGCGCCACAATAAAGAACCTCTTTCGCGCTAGAACGATTGTATATACCTATATAACAGTCGTTGCATTAGCTGCATTGTTTCATCTGTAATAGTGGGAGGCTGGAGCATATCGTGGGAGGCAGTTTGCGGTTCGCTCGGTCAGTGTGGGGAGCGCTGCCATTATATCCACTGGGTCACATCGAACGGATGGAGGAATATACTACGGGTGGAGGAGGAACGGATGAATAAGGGATTTTAAGAGACCTGCATTAACACTGCATGCACGTTTTTCTTTTTTTACGGCTCTCTCTATCGGGGTTCCCCCAGCAGTTGTCTTGCAGAGGCGGGCAAGCTTTAAACAATAGCGCCCCGAGGAGCGCTGGATACAGTATCGCTGAGCGCAGAACCTCGGGCATCATCATCATCATCATCATCATTCACTACTACGAGCGTTCACCAATGGAGACGGCCACGCGCTCTAGTGTT